ATTAACTGCTTTCAACTTCTACTTTTGTTTACCAAAACCAGGGGAGAGCGCGAACGCAGTCCCCCACTACCACAAATTATGCAGTCGAGTTTCCCGCATTTGGGGAAATCGCAGGGGTCAGCACACCCGGAGTGCAGAGGATGAGCCTCGCCCTGGGAAAACCACCTGCCTGATCATGGTGTCTCCCCTGCCAGGTAAGTATGCCTCCCCTCACGCCCGGCAACGCCGCACGCACCACCACCTACTCCTAACACACGGACACACGCGCCCACACTCCCGCGCCACACCCGCGCACACCAATCGCTCTAAATCCCACAGCTGCCCGTCACGCAGCGCCCACGCAGCTGCTGCGACGCCCGTGGCCGGCGTCTTCTTCTCACGGTGATACGTCCCGCCAGCCCGCGCCCTGCCTGATCTGCATGTCCCCGCCCCCGTCCCGCAAGGCTCCACCCCTGGCGGCCCGGAGAGGCTCTGCTGGCAGCGGGGAGATCTGCATGGCCCCGCCCACAGCCCGGACGGGCTCCTTCCAGGGTCGGAACTCCCAAACGCGGAAGACCCGGCAGAAGGGCGGGAAATGCGGAACCGGCGGGAAATGCGGAACCGGCGGGGAACGGCCGCAGTGTCCAGGGATTTGCACCTGCCGCAGCCGAGCAGCAGAGCCAGCGTTGCCGAGGAAGGGGGACTTTTGAGCGACAAATGTCGCTCCCCCCAAACGCGGCACTGGGGGAAACGTCCATCCCTGTGACTCCTGCCCCTGGACCATCGGGCACGTCCGTGGCCGGGCAGGATGGTGCAGGGTCAGCTGCTCCAACCAGAGGTGGCACGAGGGGTCCTGGTGTCCAATGACACGCAGACCCATCCCTGACCCGCAGAGAGAGAGGATCTCTTGCTCTTTCCTCCCCGGGGAGCTGGGTCCCTTCTAGGGACCTTAAAAGCCTCTGCCCTCTAGAATGATGACAATCCGGGCAGAGGGACAGGATGGGGACAGGTTCAGTGCCATCCTGCAGTACCCCCAACCCCTTGAACTGAAGCACTGAAGGCAGCTGGGGTGGGCAAGGAGCCGGAGGGGACCCAGCTGGGACAGCCAACCCCAGGGATATTGCACACCGTGTACTGTCCTGCTCAGGGATAAAAGGGTAGGATGGGATAGGGTAGGGTCCCCTTCCCAGCTGGAAGGGACCTACAAGGATCATCTGGCCCAACTGCCTGACCGCTTCAGGGCTGACCAAAAGTTAAAGCACGTTGTTAAGGGCATTGCCCAAATGCCTCTTCAACCCTGACAGGCTTGGGGCATTGACCAACTCTCCAGGAAGCCTGTTCCAGGGTTTGAACACCCTCTCGGCAAAGAAATGCTTCCTCACATCAAGTCTGAACCTCCCCCAATGCAGCTTTGAACCATTCCCAGGCGTCCTGTCCCTGGATCCCAGGGAGAAGAGCTCAGCACCTCCCTCTCCACGTCCCCTCCTCAGGAAACTGCAGAGGGGTCGCCCCTCAGCCTCCTTCTCTCCAAACCAGACCAACCCAGAGTCCTCGGCCGCTCCTCAGAGGACATGCCTTCCAGCCCCATCACCACCATCATTGCCCTCCTCTGGAGGCGTTCGAGGACCTGAACATCCTTCTCAAACGGTGGGGCCCAGCACTGCACACAGTACTCGAGGTGAGGCTGCACCAGCGCTGAAGACAGCGGGACGATCCCCTCTCTTGGCCGGCTGGTCCCACTGTGTTTGATGCCCCCCAGGATGCGGTTTGCCCCCTGGGCTGCCAGGGCACACTGCCGGCTCCTGTTGCACTGCTGCCGACTAGCGCCGCCAGGTCCCTTTCTGCAGGGCTGCTCTCCAGCCACTCCTCTCCCAGTTTAGACTTGTGCCTGGCATTACTCTGTCCCCAGTGCAGAATCTGGCATTTGTTCTTGCTCAGTTTCATGCTGTTGATGATTTCCCAATGCTCCAAGCTATCTAGAGGCCTCTGCAAGGCCTCTTGTCCCTCAAGAGGGTCAGCAGCCCCTTCCAGTTTGGTGTCATCAGCGAACTTGCTAATGGTGCATTCAACTCCTGGATCCAGATCATTGATAAATATATTGAACAGAACTGGCCCTAGGATTGCGCCCTGAGGAACACTGCTGGTGACTGGTCACCAGCCCGCTGTAGCCCCATTCGCTGCGGCCCTTTGAGCCCTGCCGTCCAGCCCGTGCTTCACCCAGCGCACCATGAACCCACTCATCCCACAGCTGGACAGCTTGTCCAGACGGGTCCTGGGAGGGACAGTATCAAAAGCCTTAATGAAATCCAGAAGAACTACCTCCATCACCTTCCCTTCACCCCCTGGGTGGGTGACCTTATCATAGAAGGATATCAAATTAGTTCAACAGGACTTTCCCTTCAGGAACCCAGCTGACTATGCCTGCTGATTGCATTGTTCTTTAAAAGCCTTGCCATAGCGCCCAGGATGATCTTCCCTGTAATTTTTCCAGGAACTGAGGTTAGACTAAGGTCTGTGTTTTCCTGGATCTTCCCTCATGTCCTTCTTGTCAATTGGAATAGCACTGGCCAGCTTCCAGTCAGCAGGGACCTCCCCAGACCTTCGGTAGCTGACCGAGGGGATCCTGCCAAAACCTCCACCAGCTCCTTCAGCCCTCTGGGGCGAATCCCACCAGGCCCCATGGACTTGTGAATGTTCAGCTGATGCAGCTGGTCCCTGACAATTTCCATGTCCACAAATGGAATGTCACTGCTCCCTCAGCCGTGCTCGTCCGACTCAGGGGATCAGGCAGCCCCAGGTCTATCACTATTATTAAAGGCTGAGGCACAAAAAGCATCAGCTGCCTCTGCCTTTTCTTCATCCCTATTAGTCAGATCACCACCTTTAGCAAGTGTCGGTCCACAGCGCTTTCCTTAGACCTCCTCTTGCTATATTAATGCACTTAAAGAAGCCCTCCCTGTCTGACACAGCGCCAGCCAGCGTCAACTCCAGCTGAGCTTTGGCCGGTCGTGTTTTCTCCCTACACGTGTGAACCATGGCTCTGTAACCCTCCCAACAAGCCTGACCTTGCCTCCAGAGATGGGCCCATGTCTTCTTCCTCTGGAGCTCCACAAGGAGGTCCCCGATCAGCCCGGCCAGTCTCCTGCTTGACCTGGGACTCCCTGGGACCGCCACTCCCGGGCTTTTCAAGGCGGCTTCCAAAAAGTGCCCTGCTCCCAGAGAGCCCTGCAACCTCACAGGCAGATTCCCTGGGGATGCTGCTCAGCGGCTCCCCAAGCAGCTTGGCGTTCGCTCTACTGAAGCCCTGGGCAGCCGCTCTGGGGTCCTTTGTCTCCTCACTCCCGAAACCTGATCATTTTGGGGTCCCTGTGGCCCGGACAGCAC